CAACTTAACAGATGTTATAAATAATTTAAGATAAACCGTGAAATGATTTCCATTCCATCACCTTCGGAGCTTCTTCCTAAAGCTACTGACTCCTGATTGAACCCGGCAGTGTGAGCCAACCATCATTTGTCTGAGCCGACATAACTTGGCTTGCTCCTTTATAAGAGAGTTGCTGCCCTGCTGGGGACATGGTCTTTTCGGATAAAAAAGATCTTCATTTTGAGGAGACGGGGGGGATGTGGTGACAGAGAGCCAATGGCAGGAGCTGATGTTTCTGGAGCCAAAATGGTGTCACATATTGGCAGGAGGAGTATAGGGCTGCCTGGCTGACCCCTGCCAGTGTTCCTAACAGCTGTCCAAGGTCTTTTATAACACAGAAACATGATGGATAGTATAGTAGCATGAGTCACTGGGTGCATTGGATTTAATGCATCAGTAGCTAGTCTTATTCCTCAACAGAAAACGCACAGGAAAGGGAATGCTATGTATTAACATTTGCATAATGTAATTGTTGAGGATTTTTTGGAGTACAACAAGAAAACAAAATCCCAAACAAAGCAATGAGAGTATTGTTACACAGCATTTTGTGTGTACATGATCTGAAGCTGCATATGTGAAAGATGTGGGTGGTGACCACAAACTATCTAAATGTTTCCTTTGTATGTTTTCTGACTCCCTTTCTGTCCTGACCAAAGGGAACACAAAAGGCTCCATTACAGAATATCCAAAGTAACGTGTGTGTGTGTGTGTCACGTGAATCCAGTTCTCTGGGAAAAATTAGAAATACTTGCTTGGTGTGGAGGATACATAGTAAACAGCTAAATGAGACACTGTCGCTGCTCTGAAAACAGCTGCTGCAGCCTGTGTGTGTACAAACAAAAAGCCTGACAGCCTCTTCGGCATGTCTCTGGACTATAATGGGCGTTAATGCATCACTGACTTATAACTTTAACAAGCCTCAGGCCAAGTAACCGACCAGGTGAGTAAGGGCAACTACCTGTGTGACAGCATCTCCTGCTGGTTGCTGTGAGAATTGCAGGCTGAAACAACTATTCCATGTTCCACTGCAGGCAGTAGCATTAGAGCTACAGAGTTCAACATGCAACAGTATCAGTATTGCCTTTCTATAAACATATTTATCCAATTGTGAAACTAATGTTTTCTCGTTGTTATAAAGATCAATTAAAAATGTGAAACGGGGTGTCTTTGAAAAGTTTAAGCCATTTACACTGACTCTTAATTGATGAAAAATATACTGTATAAAGCAGTAAAAAAATTGTAACGATACACAGAAAGAACCACAACAGATATACAGTAAGAATAGATAGAGTGAATAATATATTGACAAAATATCATATACCTGAAAGGTAACAGACAGGGGAAAGGGGAAATAAGGAAATAATGAATAAATATAATTAAAAAGTGATTGATGAAAAATGTAGAGGCGCAACACTTTTTGAACTTCTTCTCCGTTCACTTAATAACAGGATTTCCTCTCCAATCAAACAGGAAGTAATGTCTTTAATGTTGTTTGCAACAACTCACTCGCTGTGACTACAAGCGACGGTTGTTCTTCTGGTTTCATCTTCAAGGAAACAGCAACCTCAGGGGAGTTGTGACTCTCACACAAACACAGATCAGATAACGAGCAGCAGCACGTTAAGGCAGGTGAGTACTCTCACTTTTTAACCACTATTCTTGGATTTAGTTTTCACTTGACACGATTGTTGAGGCATTTATATTATCCCAGTCTTCTTTGTTAGGTGTCTCCATTTTTTTCTCTCCTTAAATGTAATAGTTTTCGTCCATTGAATATCACATCATTTGTTCAGTCGGTGATGCTACACCTGGTCGGTCATCTTTGAAATCTTTGTTGTGTCATAGGAATACAGTTATTTACATATTCCAATACCAAAAATTATTATTTCAAAAATACAGCAAAAACAGATACACATAATCAGATACATATAATCTTTTATCCACTATAGCCTTGAAACATTTACCTACTTTGTTCCATTTCCTGAATAGGAACTGTGATGTGATCATTTATAATCATACAAGGGATTTACAAAAAAGTATTTATTGTCGTTACTGTTTGTTATTTTCAAGTGATACCACACACAATATTTTCAACAGTTTGATTAGAGCCATTAAAATAATGTTTTTGCCTCTCTGTATGACAAGTCGTGATTTTTTTCTGACTTATTACAGACATCCATGTGAACATTGAAACAGGTTTCCCTTGTTATTCTTCTTCGTAATCATACTAGCAATTAAGAGATGCAATTTATGATGCAGCAGTCGCTCCATATGGACTCCACCCTTTGGTCTATTCCCCATTCCTGAGTGAAGGTGGAACGCTTCTTAAGAGACAAAATGACAAACAGCTTAACATTCTGTAGATCTGAGGTAGATTAATTATGTGTTATACTTCCTCACTGTGCTTACACAATGCATAACCATTATCTTAATATATATTCAACCTTTATTTTTTTGCTATTGATGAAACATATAGAGTGATTATTATTATTGAGATTGTTTTATTGCCCACCATGCCTAGCCCTAATTGATACATTTTTCTTTATCATTACAGGATGATGAGGATGTCGGGCAGACTCATGAGTTGCTGTGCAGCTCTGTTCCTTGCACTGGCCTCTGTGTCAGCTATACAAAAACTCAATTCAATTGATGATTTGAAGAAAATCAACTTTGGCCAATCTGTGCCCAAACACACTCTTCTGCTGCTCCACTGGTTTGCCAACGTAGTTGATATTGACAGCAACAACATCATACAGTTGACCTTTGACCCAGACGATGACGATTATGGATCGCATCATTATGGCAACTTTGACAGGCTGCTGCAGTACACCCCTTATAGTTGTGCCAAGTACTACACTGTCGGCAATATCCTTCTAGACGGACATGAACAACTTCCAGATTATGTCACCCGACCCCGGGCAGGGTATGAGGGAGGAAACATGGACCGGATCATATTCCGAGTCAGGCAGCAGAACGAAGGATGGCAAACTTCACAACAGATAGATCAAGTGTACATCACACAGCATTATGGGATCCCGGGAAATAAGACATATGATCCTGATCATACCTATGAGATCACGACTAACCTCCTGAGACAGATCCGAGATTTTTCTGTGGGAGAAAACCAACAGTCACTGCAGCAGCTCAGGAATCACTATGGAAGTAACATTAGTGATTTATCACACATCAGAAACATATGGGGGAACCTCGCTTGTCTTGGACTGCTGTTGTTTATTGTGATCCAGGAAAGACACAACTATATTCAACAAAGTGCCAGCCTTCAGAGTAAGACAAGAACAAACACAGCCAAGGTTACGACACAACCTCATTTTCAGCCACCTCATTTTCAGCAACCTCATTTTCAGCCACCTCATTTTCAGCAAAGGCACTGCCAATCAGCCAGACAAAATCCGGAGAATGGTGACATTTCAACGGCCTTAGCGTGTTTTCTTTTTTTCATTGTAGTATTTGTTATCATCCTTATTGAAAGTGTTTTAAAGAGGTAGGGGAAGATGACAAGAAATGAGAGAGAAGATGTTGTCCAAACCAAAATATTATGGGGCTATTTTTCTGTTTGTTACTTTTAAGATGATTGTGAATCAAGCATTTAAAACTGATCAATGGACCTGGATATGGGGTTATTCTATAAACTGGTGTAAGTTTTGTTTTGCTTCCATGTTAATTTGGTGCTACATTATTTTCTTAACACTGTTCTGGTAAATATTGAGATAGAGGTTGTGTTAATGGACCAAATACCGAAAAATTACTTCAGGGTGTCAGTTCAGGTCGACCCAATCAGTCAGCACTAATTTAGGCCATAGCCCCATCGTAAAAATGTGATCTATTGGCAGAAATTGAATATAACATAATCCTAGTGATGTTTTCACCTGTGTGTTTCATCTAAATTGTACAGATTTGTGTTTTCTTTACCATAGAATTGACCCTTTATATTTAAATACTTTATATTTGCATCAGGAGTGGGTCCTTTCTACGGAATGGTTTTGTATTCTTTCTATAATATTGTAAATGGGGTGGTCATTGAATACACACTGCTGTTTGTTTGTTGTGTAAATAAAAAGTTTAAAAGACGACATCTGTTCATCTCTTCCTTCCACTTCCTCAATTAGTCAACGTGTGGGAGAACAGTGGTCTACAGAAAGACGTTTTTATTTCTGACACAATATAAGATCACTCAGATATAGAAGAAGACTCCTGTGTTTATTGAGTGTTGATAGTAAATGTACTTATTCAACATATGGGTTAAACTGTCATCTGGATAAAACCTGTAAAAATGTCAAATTCAATTCAGCTGAAGTAACCTGATCAGTTTGTGTTAAGGATATTCACTTTGAACAGTTTAACTTTTCTGTTTTAAAAAGACAGTCATGCTAAAAATAAGATAAATCAGTAAATATTGAACAGTGGTCATCAGTGAAAATGGAGACACTCGAACTTGTTACAACATGTCTCATGCTATTTGGTGGAAATCTGTGAAGCAGTTATTGCGTAACCGTGCTAACAAACAGACAGGCGAAAACATAATCTCCTTGGTGGAGAAAAATAAGGCTATAAAACAAACAAGTACTGCCATATTAAACTAATGTTATAAGCATAGTAGATAATAATAAAATATGCTTTATTAGAAAGCCTGCAGTCCAAAGGACACCTGGTGTCAAATACCTGCACAGACCAGTTCAACATAAAATCGGAAATGACTTACGGAATAACTCCACTTTACAGAGTTATATCTCTTTTAATTCAAAACGCAAATATACAGCTTTTGCATGTTGGGCTAAAGCCCGGCAAAACACTGACAGAGATTAATAATTAATAATCTTTTCAAAAGGACATTTGATCCAAGCTGCAGTGCCTTTCTGTAACCAGGCAACAGTTTTGTTGTTGGTTTCATTTCTGAAGAAACAGAAAGCTACGGGTAGTTATAACAGCTCACACACTGACACAGAACTGATACCGAGCAGCAGCACACTAACAAAGGTGAGTGCTCTTATTTTCTGATTTACCAGAGTTTTCTCTCATTTCTCATTTTCTCTATTTGAGGGTTTTTAAATTACTCAGAAGGTGAAAACCATATTTAGAAGGACAGTTGAATGTTTGTTCTGTTAGATTGAATTTGGAGAGGTTTGTGCTATGTCAGTCTTCTTAGAATGTATTTATTTCCCATCACTTTTTATTGTATATATTATCTTACATAGTTTAAATATTTCCTTGTGTTTATATTATGTTCATTTAATTATTACTTTTACTGAGTTTATTTTCTAAACTCCATTTTCTGCTGTAATATGGCAAATTTACCCCCCCCCTCGACTTATAAAGTATTATCTTCCTCTAAAAAGTACAGTTTGTAGAATTTGGGATATCTAGTGTTGAAATTTCATGTTAAACCCCTCACCTCACCCTCTCCTACCAAACAGGAAAAACAACCTGTGGTAGCCTTTAATTGTCATAACAACTCAAAAGGTGTTTAGTTTGTCCAGTCTGGACTAATGTAAAAAACATGACAGCCTCCGTAGAGAGGGTCCCCTCGATGTAAATATAAAGTATTTTAATATAAAGGGCCTTTTCTGGGGTAAAGAAAACAACATTTCATACAATTCAGATGAAACGAACTAGTGAAAACATCATGAGAATTGTTCTACACTAAATTTTTGCCCATAGATCCCTTTCAGCTAAATCTTACACACTGGACCTTTAATATAATATTAACATAATATTTCCAAATTACGCAACAACACACAAACATCCAATATACAGCCTTGAAACCTTTAAAGTCCCCCAAGTGAAAATAAAGTTGTTTCTCCTGTTTTTTTATACGATAAATAACATAACATATTTTGAGTGAATTGTGTTGTCAGCATCAGGCCTGACTGTATTTCCACTTTTACACTGCAGTGAACAAATCCCAATCTGAAAAAAAGGGAGAAAGAAACCGATCCTGTCAACTTGCGGGTGGGATGCAGTAGCTGGGAAAGGACTGTGGAGTGTGACTTAAAATAATATATTTCCAAGCTAGAAAGTGACTGCAAACCCACTTTCCCATTGATTAAATAAATAATGTGTAATCTTGTAATTGTTAATTATCAAGACGAAATACAAAAACATATTGTTAAAATGATCAATGATGGGAATAAGCATTTGGATCAATCTTTTGTTAAGAATACAAGTATGGGTTGAGAATTATCAGTATGAATGAACAATCCAGCTAATATTTTTTTTAAATTTCATTACAGGATGATGAGGATGTCAGGCAGAGTCATGAGTTGCTGTGCAGCTCTGTTCCTTGCACTGGCCTCAGTATCAGCTGTACAAAAACTCAAGTCAATTAATGATTTGAAGAAAATCAACTTCGGCCAATCTGTGCCCAAACACACTCTTTTGTTGCTCCACTGGTTTGCCAACGTAGTTGATATCAACAATAACAACATCATTCGCTTGACTTTCGATCCAGACGATGAAGATTACGGCTCGCATCATTATGGCAATTATGAGCAGCTGCTAGACCCACTGCCTCACGGTTACCAGTACTACACTGTTGGCAATCTCTATGAACACAGACATGAACAACTTCCAGACTACGTAGTCAATCCCCAGGCAGAGTATGCAGGAAGAAACATGGACCGCATCATATTCAGAGTCAGGCAACAGAACAGAGGAAGATCTATGCAGACAGATCAAGTGTACATCACACAGCACTATGAGACCTTCGAACAACAGGGGACAAGGTATGACCCAGATCATACGTACCAAGTCACTACCAACCTTCTAAGACAGATCAGAGAGTTTTCTGAGGGAACAAACCAGAACACACTGTGGGATCTCAGAGATCGCTACGGAAGTAACGCTGATGATTCCCAGTTAAGGCACATCAGAAACACATGGGGTACTCTGGCTTGTCTTGGCCTGCTGTTGTTTATTGTTATCCAGGAAAAGCACTCCTCTTACCAACAAAAGAAAAGCACTCAGCCTCCAGCGAGAAGAAAGACACAACCTGATTTTGTTGTCAACATGCCAGAAAACCCATCCCGGACACATCCCAGACAAAATAATTTTTTAAGACATCTACCTGAACAGAGGGATGAGACTCAACTTACAGTGAAGACAGGCAACAATGGAAAAGCCAGGATTCATTGGAAGAATGTTACTAGAGATCGTCTAAACAATGGAGTGATGGTAGTGCTTTTCAAAAACAATGAGGACCAGGAAGCAAGCAGCACTTATAAGTGCATTGAGGACAGTCATTCAGGCAGTTGGGACACCTCAGTGCCGCTAAATGAAGGTCTCCAGGCTCGACTACATAAGGTGAGGAGACAGTACTGCTTCTGGAGAGTGGTGGGAGAGGAGATATGCAGAGGTCCTGAGTTTAAGGATGACAGAAAAGACACAGCAGTCGATATAACTGGTTACAATGCAAAACTCCAGCTCTTTGTAAAAGATGGCAAGGCGTGTGCTCGCTTATTTGTTAGGAAGAACTTTGGTAATTGGAAGTTGGAATTTGACAATTCTTGGGTTGGGTTCTATGCCTCTGCAAATAAAGGCACAAATCAGTATGAATGGCGACAGTGGCAGTGGGCAACTAAATTCAGACCTAACGCTGATGTTGAGGACTACTTTTATGATGTGTACGAGTATCACTCAGGTATGGCAATTGCCCCTGGAGTCCAAGCACGATTCATAGACTGGGGAAAGGAAGTTAAAGCACGCACTCCAAGCTGGAGGTGATGAAGATGACTGGAGATGCACTGCGGACAATGTGGAAGTGGATGGAAAATCAACCCTGCCTTCTGCACATATTGTTTATTTTGATCAGTCTGATGTTTATGTCTATTCAAAATGCTGTTCTGTTATACGATTTATTTTTCCTTCGTAAGTTTAATTTCAGTGAGTATTGGATGTGTCAATTTCGTTAACATTGAAACATATTTGTGATGAAACAACAAATACTCTGAAATCAACCATTTTAAAATGTGTCAAAAAGGGCAGACAGTCCTCAGGATTTTGTTGCACAAGTTCCCATTTTTCGCTTCCTGATTCAAATGATTGTGATAACTGGACTTTGCGTATCAGCTGATACCAAGTACTCATCCTAACCAGTGCATTCTTTTTTTAATTACACCTTGTAAAGTATTTTAACAGCTGTATGCTACTAACCATGTATGGATGTGAAGATTGCCATCAATGTTGTATGGGCTGACTTCAATTAAACCCTATGGAAAACACAAACATACAGAGAAGAATGCTCTTCCGATCTAGTTTGACAATCATAACTGAAAAAGAACAAAAATAAATACAGACAAGTTGTTGTGTGCCACCACATGAAACCGAGGTCTTTATACAGTTCATGAGACAGTTTTTGTTCAAATTTTAGCTAGCTCTGTATAATGTATAACAGGAAATAACTTCTTCCTCAAAGCTACGGCAGTACACCGATGCTGGTATCAATATCAGAACATCTGTTGTTTGCTTGGGCTGAAAAGCCTCGGTCTGCTGTAAATAGCTTTTGAATGGATCTCACCAGTCGGAATTTATTACCACACAAAATATTAAAACAACAGCAGTTTCATCAGAACAAGAAGTAAAGTCTGAGTGGTTGTAGTTCACTTAAACCACATATGGACATTATGAGCTGCTTGGTTGTACCTAAAAACCTGAAATGATTTAATAACAGTGCAGGTCTTCTCTGAAATGTCTGTAAATCCTAATGCTTTGCTCTGGCATGGTCATAAAGTTCCAGGCTTTATTCATGCAACAATGTCATGCTCCGGCATGCCTAATCTAAAAGTAGTGACTCACTGTTGCTTCATCCTGTGTCTCGTATGGATGAAGAGAAAGCACATAGCTCTGATGGATAAATGAAACAGACAGTGAAAGAAACTATGATCTGCTCTGATAATGTACAGCTTTTAGAAACTCGATTTTATTCCAATAAAGGTTTTGTATTCTTCCTGTAATGTTCAAACTTGTGTAATGATAAAACAAACTGTATGTGTCAGATCCATGTCAGTGTTTTTATTGCAAGTTGAAGAAAGAGTGTTTGGGTTGAGTGCATGTGTGGCCCGTGATGCAAAACACGAACACAGATGAGCAATTTATTCAAATATCATTTCTAACCCTTGTGACATTCACAAGTCCATGTTTTAAGTCCTGAACAGACCTATGAAAAGGCCTTTATGTCTGTGTCGACGAGATGAGTACTGTTCTAATGTGGTGAAATGTGGGTTAGCACTCAGCAGGACAGCCAAGCAGGTCATAAGATGAGTCATTACTAATAAGTGTTGCAGATTGAGCTTTAATAAAATACTAATCAAAGGTTCCTCTCTGGAATGATAAAGTCCAGAGCCAGGTGTGAAAGACAGACACTGCTATTTGTTGACATATTCATCATCTCAATATACAAGTCTAATACACTGCGTCAAAGAATCAGCTCTCCTGCCACAAAATAATACCAAATATTTTTGAGAGGTTTTTTTTAGAGGTTCTCCATTTTTGGCAGGGAAATAGAACAAATAGAACATATACAACAAATATTATATAGCAATTTAAACTATCACAGCAATACAACCTAGTCCAATATATACTGATATATTGCAAATATTGTGCAATCAGAGTAAGGAAATATAAACATAAAATTGATCTGCCTCAGATACGTAAAATATTTTGCTGTTTGTCATTGTCTGCTCATAAAGAAATGTTTAAAACCAAAGCCTTCACTCAGAAGCAAATATCAGTCCAAACATTTATTTTGACATTTTTTGTTACTTACTGGCAAAGGACATTTTTTTCATCTTGATCTAGTTTTTGGCCATATGGCCCTGCCCTAGATAACAACTGTTCTCATGCAGTATCTTTATTTAAAGGTCCAGTGTGTAAGATTTAGGTGAGAGGGAACTATTGGCAGAAATTTAATGTAGAAT